GTAGGTTAAAAGGAAGTTTAAAAAAGTGAAAAACCAACCACTGCTAGAAACTTTTAAGTCCCTGCTGAGTTCCTGGGAGGGGAAATACTTGTCCTGGGTGGGGCGGATCGCGGCCATAAAAATGTCACTACTACCCAAACTCCAATACCTATACAGAACACTACAAATTCCAGTACCAGATAAGTACATCAAAGCACTCACGAAAATGCTAACACACTTCACATGGCAAAATAAAAAACCCAGAGTAGCGACCAACCTACTACAAAGGTCAATAAATCAGGGCGGACTAGGCTTCCCCGACCTAAAAGCATATTGCAAAGCGGCAACATTGATGCTGGTGCCACAATTTCTACAACATCCCACAGCCCCACAGTGGCTGGAAATAGAAAATAGCTGGGCCCACCCAACGACACTACATTCCATCCTGTGGACACCTAAATCACATAGGACGGACACTAGCCACCTTTTACCCACGACTCAATACACCCTACATGTTTGGGACTCATCGAAGCACCTAATGACGCGATACCACCCACTACCTTTGGCTGCCCCAACCAGCACCCTAGCACATATAATACCGAACCTGAATACACAACCATGGCTACAGATGGGCATCCAAGAAATAGGGCAGCTATACAACGACAAAGGGCTAAAACTATTTCCAGACCTACAACAAGAATTTCAGTTACCCCACAGGCTAGGCTTCGCTTACCTTCAAATTAAATCCTACTTAGCTAAAAACAAACCTAACGGACCGGCTGCTACAGCCACAAAACCGATGACTGAGTTTGAACAGATATGCACACGTAAAAAACCACTGAAAAAACTTATTTCCATCAGCTATAAAGCTCTGACCCAAGTATCAGATCAGGGCAAAGAAACACACATCCAATCATGGCATAGAGAATTAGGCAGCACAATCCCACTGACAGACTGGACTAAGGCTTACTCCTCGTACAAGGGGGTAACATCTTGTGCTACTCACATTGAGATGCAGCGCAAACTGTTATACCGTTGGTACTTGGTACCATCCAGACTCCACCAGATGTGGCCGCGGTCCTCCGACACCTGCTGGAGATGTGGTCAGAGTAAAGGCACCATGTCTCACGTTTGGTGGACATGCCCCATCATCCAATCCTATTGGCTAGTGGTACAAAAGATCATAACTGCCACCATACAAACGCAAATCTCACTAACACTGGAACTGTGCATACTATTCATACCACCAGACTCTCTTACTAAAGATAAGTGGGCAGCCATATACCACATCCTTATCTCTGCAGTTACATGCATTGCTAGGCTATGGAAACAAACGACAACACCATCACGAGAGGCTCTCATAAACCAAATAAAACTGAACTGGGCCTACGAGATGGTATATGCACGACAATTTGGAGAAAAGAAACACATGACTTTAGCACATAACAGGTGGAATGACTTTCTACGATCAGAAGGACTACAAACAGAACCGACATAAACCACGCAACCAGTCTCTTACACCCCCTCCCCCTCCCCCCCCCAAGTTCTCTCCCCCCATCCCCACTCCACATCTACCCTCTATCCTACCTACTTGTTTCCCTGAAAGTACGATGCTTGACAATGAGACGTACAAAGCATCAGGCCACTGGTGGCCGAAGGTAACCTAGCACAGATATGCACGATACACTCTTGCATGACCACCTACAGCCCTGAACCCCCAGAGGGATAGGGGAGAATAAAAACGAATTCATATTGTCTGTAACACCTACCAAGGATGTGTGGAATTGTGTAATCTGCATATGATGTAACTTAAATGTCATGACTGTATATCGATGCATTGTACAATAAAAATTGTCAAATTCAAAAAAAAAAAGTGAAAAAAAGTGCAGATGGAACATGTTGTGGTTGTTTCAAATGAGAATTATAAGCAAGGTGTTACACATGTTTCCACCTATTCATGTCCAGATAATTGTAGTGATGGACTTAATTGGTTATACAATGAGTTCAGAGGTGATCTATCCTTTCAGGACTAAATTGTTTCAAATAAAACACGTGAAGGGGGCACCCGGATTTGAACCAGGGACCTCTCGATCTGCAGTCGAATGCTCTACCACTGAGCTATACCCCCCTCCAATGTAAAACATGTCAGGATTGGGTGTTTTTTTGTTGTTTTTTTTATGTTTTTGTGATCCGATGACATACCTAGTGAAATTATTATTATTATTTTATTATTTATATAGCACCATCAGATTCCAATGGAAAACATGTTGGGATTGGGTGTGTTTTTGGTTTTTGGTTTTTATGTTTTTGTGTTCCGATGACATACATAGTGAAATTATTATTATTTTATTATTTATATAGCGCCATCAGATTCCGTAGCGCTGTACAATGGAATGGAAAACATGTGAAGATTGGGTGTTTTTAAAAAAAAATTTTTTTTTTTTTTTTTTTAATGTTTTTGTGTTCCGATGACATACATAGTGAAATATAAAACTTGGAAGACTTGTGCTGATTACACTATTCAAATGACTGTGCTACTTTGGCTAATCTTTGGGCCACACTTAAAAGGGTGACATGGGACAGGAAGTCAGCACACTGAGGAGCCACAAGTGCAAAATGAGTGTCCTGGACAGATACAAACATTTCACTGTGGAGCTCTAAAATAACAGCCTCAGAAAATAGTTTATTGTGCAGGAATGGTTATATAACACAAACCACAATTGTAAAAAAAAAAAAAAGTTTCCGGTTTGTAAGTCCTGAATGCTGTTTGCATTCCATTTCCATAGCAATGTGCATTCCAAGTTCACTCTGATCAATAACATAACAGGAGTGTACTGGACATTAAATCTTCAGATATAAAAGAGTTTAACAATGATTTATTCATTAATAAATGGAAAAGACTTTTTTTCACATAACGCGGGGAAATCCATCTCTATTTATAAAATATTCTCGATATATATTCTGAAGTTATCTCACAATTATTAAATATATATAGTAAATCTAAAGACTATATTGTGATATGATAATAATTATAGGATGAATGACATAAAAGTAATAAAATTTGGATATATAAAAAAGTCTCTTATATAAATCATATATTATTTACAATACATCATGTACTAAATTTTTTTTTTACTTGATGAGTGACAGAATCGGCATACATGTGCTGTATGAAAGCTATGTATAAAAATTAAAGTATAATAACTCTAATATAGTAATAATAATATATAGTATATAGTTACCTTGATCAAAAACAAAATGAGAGATGCAAATCCCCTCTGAAGTCTTATACAAAAACAGTCACTAATTATAAACCCAACCTCTCTCCACATATAAAAAGATTTGTATTTATATAGTAGTAGAGAAGTAAAGAGTCAAAAAACACATGGAAGAAAGGGTATGGTGAAAACCATCAACCACAGTAGGTTATGACATGAAACAAGCCAGATCCACATCTACGTTCATACCCTTGGGTTCTAAGGTGTCTAACTGATATATCCAGTATGTATGTCTTTGAGATTGTTTAAATTCTCTCGCCGGTCCAGGTGAGTACTCGGGTCATTTTAGCCGCAGACGTGCACAGTACGTCCGCGGTCATTAACTGCCTTTTTTGTCGGACATACCCCACACGTCTGAGGTCGGGAAGGGGTTAAAGTTCTGAGGTAGCATTAAGTCTGACCACTCTAGGGAGCGGCAATACTTCTTAATCCTTCTGTCATCAAACACGAGGTGAGTGAAAATGTACTACGTGCTGATGTTTTAATGGTCACCTTGTTAAGGTCAGTAAAGAAAAGCTGAAAACTGCTTTTAAAGAAAGTTTCTGATGTCAGCATCATTCAGTGCACACCCTGCAGGTGAGAATTGTGGGTAAAGTGATGCAAATGTTTCCGTCTAATCACATCCAGATAATTGTAGTAATAGAACTACATCAATGGTTAACTTGTTATATGATGAGTTCAGAGACGTTCAATCTTTTTAGGATAAAGTGGGTATCTAAAGGTAGGTCATTGTTCTAGGATTAGATGGTATCTAAAATGTAAGCAAAGGGGGCACCCAAATTTGAACCAGGGACCTCTTGATCTGCAGTCAAATGCTCTACCACTGAGGTATACCCCCATCTATGGGAAACACTTGGGGACTTTTTTTTTTTTTTTTTCTAATGACATATATAGTGAACTACAAAATTTGGAAGATTTGTGCTTTTTACACTGTTTTATGACTTTTCTTACACATAAGGCAATATTATTCACATTTATGTGTGAAGAATAGCTTTTGTATTTATTTCACTTGATGAAGCCAATAAATTGCTAATGTTCAAATATTAGTAAGAAACGTTGAAATACAAGTAACCAAAGTTGTTATAAAAACATGAAAAGTCAGCTAATTTTTCTTAAAAACAAGATAGCATTTCAAATATTTTGCTATTTCTACTTGCTTTGTCCTCAGCCTACATTGATGGTTAACTGGTCATACAATGAGTTCAGAACCAGGGACCTCTTAATCTGCTTTTGTCAACC